TTTCTTCAGTGGATGAAGAACGAAGAACGAACGAACGGGGGATGAAATCTGAGAATCCGTGGAGATTATTTATAATGCGTCCTTCGAGAATTCCTCGACGAAGATAATTTCGTGCATTCGAAAGCACGTTGTCCTCCTGATGCACCCGATGCGCAGGATACGCAGTATATGCTAATCGTATGCAGGGACCGGTGCACTGCGCCGAATACAAATGGCAGCCAACTGCCACCATCTTTGCGCCGCTCTACCCTCTTCTTCTTCTATACCGTGCCATCGTTTCTACTCTTGTGTTGTTTGACAAGCTTCAACGAGGATTTCTTGATTAAATTATCAACAATATATTTCATTCAATGTCCCGTATATATTATTTTCATATCTCTCCCCCGCTACTCATGGTCGTGGAATTTCTCTATTCCGATTTTGCTCTTCTTTCATTTAACGAAGAGTTATAATACTCGATTGATAATAAATGTAACCCTTCATTTTGTGAAACGAGCACAATATTATATATTATCAAAACGAACACAATATTATATAACGTTATATAATAATTTTCCAATATATCTATACGTCGGAACACGTAACAATTCTTATTGAATTTCTTCCATCTTTTTTTTTCTCTCTCTTTCATAAAACAAGAAGTACATTTAATATTCCTATAAAGCAAAAACGAAACAAAAGAAAGGGAAGGAAAGGACATATTTTTCATGTCTCAATTCGGCCGAATCCAAAACAATCGAGGACACAGGTCGCATCTACTTAACATTCTACTCTCGCCTGTCATAATTATAAGCATCATATGATTTCTAAGTCCGTACGTGAAAACAATGACGCGAACGTCGAACATTGGTGGGGGGAACAGTTCGAATTCGACGGTGGTCATTCCACGTATCGGAATCGAATCCTTTCGAACCGGCCAGTCGTCGACGATAAATCGGACGTGTTCGTTCGATCCGATCCTCGGAGCGTAATTCTTCTCTGACGCGGACGACATCCCTTCTGTTTCTCTTTCGCTTATTCTGTCATCGACGATGAAAGTGAAAGCAAATCGGTGGTAGATCGGTGCGAATGATAATTCGTCGGTGAATATTTAACGGTGGTGGAACGACACGCGCGCGAGAAAGGGACCGAGTGAAAGAAGAAATGGCCGAGAAGTTTGTCCTGCAGAAAAATATGGCGAACACGTGCGAAACGCCGCGATCGCGGCGACGAAACCGGCCGACTTTCTTAGATTTGTCCAACATCACGCGTGAGTGTCTCGTTTTGCTCGCAATTTATTATGCACATTATATCCCGCGTCTTTCGGCCCGTCTCGCTCTTTCTGCACCGCGAAGCGAAGAGTTTCCTGATTTAAACGATAGTGCAGAATCGAGAATAGAGAGATGAGAAATTTAGAAAATGTCTCTCCTTGGAAACTTTCGATACTGTTTACTCATCGCATAAAACGATGGATCTCAGTTCTTCGAAAAAGATCCATACGAAATTATAATTAATATAATTAATATATAACATCGTAACAGTTACTGTAGAAAATTGTGCTTGACGGGGGAGAAATGTTGAATATCCCTGTCTCGCAATCAGTTCTGAGAAATAGGATTATATAGGAACGAAGTGTATCGTAGGTTGAAGTAAAAATTAAACGTAGGCGGATGGGGTAGATCAGAGATCTCGAGGAACGAGAATAGTCTTCTGTCCGTTTGGGCAGAAGTATATTTAAGAGGTGCATTAAGGGGTCCGATAAAATTCCTTTTTCCGTTTAATGTGCTTCGCTGTGTATCAACTTGCTATACAGTTAGAATAATCAACTGTCTCTTCTTACAAATCTCTGATCAAGAATTTATAAATCGATGCAAAACCACGCTTTTTACTCGCATGATTGAAACGTTACGAAATAACGGATACAAAATGGTCAAAACATAGTCACCAAAAGATATTAAAGAGAGAATCCTTCTTCTCGTCACAAAACAAATTTGTGAAAACGAATAGTAAAGCATAAAAAAATTTCAATAGAGTTTTACAATTTCGTTGATTTGTAGAGAGGAGTAGAAAGAAGAATTTACTGGACACCGATTCGAGAGCTCGATGATATTATAGTGGCATTATATTTTCCGAAAACATCCGTTATAGAGCTTCCTGTCGTGTAGGCCAGGATCGTGTTACGAAGAGCGCGCATAACGGCCCGCGACTTTAATCGTTTGCGACTATTAATTCGGTAGAAGACCGGATACGCCGAAAACGGAAGCCACGCGCGTCACGTAGCAAACGCAACAGCCGCCAACATGGCGGTCACGAAACCCAAGAACGGGAAGGAAATTTTTCCAATCCTCCAGTGTTTGTTTTCATAACACGCTTCGGAAAAAGCGTGTTCTTCGTCCGCTTCAATTATTATTAAAAAATATATATAACCCACATCTTTTTAATGTTAACTATAAAAAACAAAAAATACACAAGTTTATCTCAATTTAGCGATAACTATTGAAAAGTCTGTAAATTTTGTACAATAATTCTCAGGAACAGAAGGAGATAAAGAAACGGAGGTAAATCTTGTTTCCGTTCTTTTTTTCTTTCAGTGCGGAACAAAAGCACGATCCAGTCCGATACAGTGAAGAAAATCGATGTTCACATGTACTTTTATAAAAAGATTGATTGGCGTATTGGAAGAAAAAGGAAAATACATGGTTTCCAAATATTTACGTAAAGAAGTTTACCATCGAGAGGTCTATAAATTTCAACGATATCTATATAATGTGTATAACTGGAAAGAACATTCTCAGGAGGAGGAGAAAGCAAACCAAAGAAACGAAATAGGAAATCTTATTTCCATCAAAATCTTTTCTCTCTCTCTCTCTCTTTTTTTTTTTTTTTTTTAACGGAAGAGCAAAACACGAACCGGTTCGACACGACGAAGAAGGTTGACGTTCGCGTCACATTATGTGTTCAGGATGGAAACCACGTGTTACGAACACGGAAACGAACCCTTTGCGCCGGCTATGGTGTTCTTCTATTCTTAACAGCGCGTTTATTTGTCCGCGGTTTTCAGGGAAAACGGTGCGCGCACAGAGGAACGGGGAGAAAATGGAAGTTTACCCCGTGTCCGGTTATTTTCAGAGTCGCCGTGCCCTAGCGAGGCTATGAAGCTTTCCATTCACCCATAATTCTACCATCCCGTTCATGCATCTTTACTCGTTGTACAATCATATGCTTCGAAAATACACGACACTAAATTCATTTCGTTTTAGTCCTCATCCTCAAAAGGCTTATCGTTCCGTTGATCGAAAACTCTGAGAATTAATAACGCGAACACCTTCTTCCATTATATAATGAATAGAAAAAGATTTTATCAAGCATAAAAAATATTCTGCCACGAGATTCATTCAAACATTTGTTTCACCTGCGATGTAATCTTAACTTGCAACTATTGTTCCATTATATGGCTCACGCGAATATTTCACAGAAAAGAAACAGCGTCGCAAGCTTATATTTATAAAAAAAATAAAACCTCGCCATTTTACTTTACTTAAAACTAACTATAAAATTATATAAAATTTAGAAACTAATTATAATTAAAAACGTCAATCATTGAAATTCAATTCAATTATTATTTGAAAAATAAATCACGTCAATTAATAAACATTGATACCCACAACGTCTAAATTATCACAAAAGATAAAAATCGTTCTAATAAATCCGCGTTTTAGCGCTGAACGATCGACAATATATACATAGATAGAGTATAATCGAAAGGGATGAAAAAAGGAGGGGAAGAAAAAGAGAAAGAGAGAAAGAAAAGAAATGTAACTCTTTTCAGTTATTTTGGGACACAGAGATAGTGAGCCCCGTTGCGTTTTCTCCAGTCGGTTTCTGCCAGATACCGATATCAACTGGCACACAAAAGACCCCGTTGTACAAGAAACGATCATGGTTATGGAAAATAAACGGCCCCATTAATTATACCATTGTACGCTCGATAAACGTTCACGAGCTGCTCTTGCTGCTGGCTGCATCGAAACGAATATTTCAGATAAGCCCTCTCGATCTCGGTTTCGCGCGTTTATTCGCTTGCGCGACAATATTTCAAGGTTACCGAATTGCACGCTGCAAATTATGCACCGCTTTCACCGTCGTTTCTCGTGTTCCCTTCTTCCAGCATTGTTGATTTTTGTACAGTTTGCAGCTCGTTTGTTGAGACGAAAGAGAATAGAAGCTTTAGAGAGCGTTGAACATCAAATCGATCAATCACTAGCTTCATATTTCCCAGGAATTTCATCGAAATTCAGCGATCCAGTTCTTGACGTTCTCGCTTGGACAGTAAGCGAAGAATTAAATATTAATTATTTGAGATTTAATTAATTAAGAGATTACCAGAAGATCCGAATGGTTTATAAAATTGACGATCTTTCACATTCTGCGTATAAAGGTGATATGCATATGTTATGGTTAATGGCATAATTTCCTGAAATGGAAAGGATCGACGATAT